AAATAACAAAAGCTCTATCTCTTCTCTGATGTATGTAAATAAAATGCGTCCCAATAAACCGTTTCGAGTCTAATTTCGCTGTCGATTTCCATCTTTCTTTCTCGCTTTATATCTCTCTCTCTCTCTCTCTCTATCTCTTTCTTTATCTTTTTATCCCGCGAGAGGCCTCATTTTTGTCTTAATTTTCGATTTAGTATATATTTTTTTTTACTTTTGTCTTGATAATTTTTATTATAATCCAAGTGAACGGCGCATAACAGTAACTATAATTAGCTAAAGCATTATTTTCTGCTGCGCTGCCGCAATCGACGTAGTCGTTGTTATTGTTTTTGTTGTACCTGTGTTGATGATAAATTTTGCATTAAGCACTATTTTTTTCCTCTCTTCGTAATGCGTTCAGTGTCTTTGTTACGTGGTGTGTGTGTGTGTGTGTGTGTGTGTGTGTGTGTGTGTGTATAAGAGAGCATTAAGTCGAGTCGATGTGCAGAATGAATATATGGACACAGGCACTGTCTGTGAACTCATTTGAAGAGTAAAATGAGCACAGTTCAATTTACTGCACACTATGAATTCACTATTCTGATGAGATGCATAGTACAAAAGATGCGTCGTTGCGGTCGTTATTGTTGGCTGTTTTTTTTTCTTCTTTTCAACTTATTCTGCCTCCGTTTTGTTTGGCTTTTGCTTTGTTTTTTTTTTATGACAAATCACTGACTCCTTGCTGACACGAAACACACACATCTTGTGGCATGGTTTGTTTCGGTTCGGTCAGCGTACGGCTCTCTCAAATCATACTCCCATAATGAGTGCATTCGCATTTGCATCAAATTATACTCATTAGTCTCAATTCATTTTGACTCACTGCACTTTGCCCATTTATCGACACTCATACTCTATTCTTCGGCAGTAGAGAGAGACTCACACACACACACACACACACACACACACACACAGAGAGAGAGAGAGAGAGACTTTACATTGCCCAGAGTCGGCACATTTGCGGCTTGTACCTACATGAAATGGTATTTCGTATCATCGAGGGCACAATGAATGAAAATATATGCATATAAATATATATGTGTGATCTGACAGCGTAAAGGCAGCCATATAAAGGAACATCATATCATCGACTCGAATTATACACATAATGAATATTACAAAAGAAAATTCACAAATTATTATAACTTATTCGAAGTATAGTGTGTACGGTGTGCGAGTGAGCTGGTGCGCTCGGTGTTTTCCGCATCGAAAACCTATTGGTATTCAATGAAGATTTGAATTTTGCTTGACTTCGTCTTAACAGAAACTTCAGCACCCAGCCGAGCGTCAATCAAAATACATATAAAAAAATCAACTGTTCATACACCATCGATGCCATCGACCAAATTATGGTATCAATCTCTATCATATATATATTCGGATGGGTTCGGTTCGGTGCTCGGTGCAGCTATTCAAATGAGGCAAGCCACTCTAGGACAAAATATAAAGATTCGGTTTTTCGGTTCGCTTAATTTCGAACAATAAACAAGTGAGGCGGCTGCTTATGTTTGTGTCCAATTATAAGGTTTGTCGGTTTGGTATGTGTGATGTGTGTGTGTGTGTGTGTGTGATTTGGTTGTTTTTGTCGTTGTGTGTGTGTGTGATTATATTTTTTTTCGGTGGAACTTTCTATAAATTTAATATGCATGAATAGTTTATCGGGCATGAAAAATGTGTGGATAAATATGCAAAGAAGAAAAGATTTTTGTCATTCTTTTGTGAGAGATTTGAAGCGTATTTGTTTCTCATTTTTCCCCTTCTGTCAAGTGGATCGTCATTTTTTTTCATTCATTTCTCATTTTTTAAGTTGAATGAGAAAATTGAACATTTTCTTCTTCTTTCACACAAATGCTGTGTCACTGACGTAGACGGCAACAATTCGATTTAGCTAAAAGATGATGGCCATCGTGTTGTCGTCAACTCCCGAAAATGATAGAAAGAAAAATTTCCGCTACCAAAAATATGCGCACCGTGCTCACCGCAAACATTTATATAAAATTATGTGACTTGCCTCGATGTATGAATTGGTTATATTGGGACTTATAATGCGCACCGTTTTGTGTATTCTCATTTCTTCATTTCGATTGAATCATTTGCACTGGGTCGACTTTCATTCAAGCCAAATAAATAACAAAAATCTACATCGAACACATCGAGTTAATTGACATTTTTATAAGCTCTTTATTCAACATTTCTCCATACATTTGATGTTGTTGTTTTTCTGGATTGGATCATCGAAAATCATTTGCAGTGCTTCTCAATGATGCGATGCGATGCGACACTATATCTACATATATGGATATATATTTTTTCTGCTTCTTCTCGTTGTCGTCGTCGTCGTTTACTACTTGTTTTCGAATTTTGTATTTGATTTCCACGGCAACTACTCGGATTCCATTGGTGTTAAAGTTTTCGGACCTGTTTCATTTGATTTGCGTAATCACACGTTAATCATTTCGGCCGGGTAAAGCCAATCGACGTACACACACAACACGTGAATATAAAATAAATAATAAAAAAAAATGGTGGCAAGAGTCAAAAGAGTCTACAAGAAAAGATAATAAGTGGCGTTTTTGTGCGTACCGTGTGTTACATAACAATCTCGCTCATTCACTCACAATACCCGATAATATTGCCGACAGGTGGTAATGTGTTTGGTGAAGTACTTCATAAACGAGAAAGTATATTTAAATGCGCAAGCAAGTTCGCGCGCGCTCGCCTTCACACAACACACGAATCGAATGATGATGGGACTGGTCGCGCGAAAGTATCACATATCAATTCAAGAGATTTGTGAATATACGATTTTTTTTCCTTTAATTAACAACCATCAATAACGACCCATATTTCATGGCTGTAAATTGTGTGGCGTATTACACACACATTGTTTGTGTTGTGTGCATGTGTGAAGGTTTAATGCGTGAAACTGGCCGAGTAGCTGCAGCAGTTTGCTGCTGTACTGAATGGAAAGTTGCGCCGAGTCCAATCAGCATTCTAATTCTTTGAGGCATAAATATATATTTTATAATCGATTTCACTTGTTGTTGCATGGGTTTTCTTTTTTTCGTTTTATTATTGCATGTGTGTGTGTGTGTGTTGCTGTGTGTCGATGTTTGCTTCTCATTAAGATTTATGACTTTGTACATTGTACATGCACAACGTAAGATGAACGTATGCGAATCGGAAATGTGTGGAAATAAAAAAATAAAATGAAAAACCGCTAAAACACAACAAGTATACACATATGATAAATTAATTTACGATAACGATCGCCAACAAAACTGTTCGTCGTCCTGCATAGCATTTAAATCTTTTTTCCCTTCTGTGTCGTTGATATGTGTCCGTTTCGGCGGCGCGCCAAATTACAAAAATTCAACGCGCATACGTTTTTGTTTTTGTCTTTTTTTTATTCATTACTTGAATTAACCGATATTTCTTATTGATTTTGTGATTTAGATGTCGAATGAATTTAGTGTCCATAACTATATATATTGACGATAATCGATTTATACTTCCGTTCAATCGATTGCCATTCGCTCTCAATGACTCAATGATCAATGGGCGATGTTAATCTTAGTGTGTATGTGTGAATCAAATTCACAAGTGCCAAACCATTCTGAAAAGTGGTAGCAACAGTAACAACAACAACAACAACAATAACAACAACATCAGAAGCCGCAGCGGCAACATCGTTAATACATAGAAATCCGCGAATAATTGATTTACATCGACGCGAAGAGAGCACATCGCAATCATGTGAAATCATCTTCGACGAATAACAATGGGACGAATATGGGTGCAGCTAGAAAATGTCATGCAGTTCAATCAATATGTCGTGTGTGTGTGTATATATATATATATATATCTGAAAGATCAAAAAGCTGTCGGTCAGATATTTCTATATTTCGAGACGGCACGACACAGACACAGACACAGAACGTTCGATCGTCCAAAAACGACGAAGAAATCGTGGACACACTTAATTCGGTATCAGATTCTTCTTCTTCCTCTTCTACCATACTATTTATACATACGTAGGTCGTTGAGATATGTAAGTAATTTGGTATGTGGAAATATATAGTTATATTCATATCCAGTTTTGTATTTATTGCGTCGAATTACCACCAATGGACTCAAAACGGCAACAACACATATGTAGCATTCCGCAACAACTCTGCGCCACAATGTACATATAAAAACAAGCGATATAATTGCGTGTAGTCGAATAATTTGATTATTTTCCTCTTATATTGTACCTCCCGGGTTGGGTGTCACTCTTTTCACTGTATTTGCATAGGCTATATGCTATTAGAATCGGCAAATAAGTGCAAGTTGAAGTTGGAAAATGTTCAAGGTTCAACTTTGGGTGAAGAATGATTCTGTATACCAATCATAGTAGTGGCAGTAGAAAAGAGCATCATGTGAATGAGCAATGAATTTTTCCCGTGCAGAATTGTAGTTTCCTCTGAGAGGGAAAGAGAGAAAGAGAGTGTGTGAGCTGAGAAGACACTCACAATCACTTCCACGCCCAAATGCAAACTCGATTGAAAGGCCAACAACAACAAGAGCAACACAAAAAAAAAAACACAACACCGTGACAGACACATGAAAATAGCATGCGCGCACCTCATCTCTCAATCAAATGCGATGAGAGATCAAGAAGCGCAAATTGTAGTGGTTGTGCCGTCAAATTAACTCAACAGTAACGATGAATGGGCGATGGTGCAGAGCAAAGTAAGTATTTGAGAACAAAATATATATAAATAACACGAACAAAACAATGTTACGAACAAGCAAATAAAATTATGAAGATGATGAGTGCGATTGTCTTCTCTCAGTTCTTTATTTTTTGTTTTGCTCTCTCATTTTTTCAAAACAGGAAAGAACGTCACACGAATAAAACAAACAATGATCACGATTAACGAATAATATATTTGATGTTGAAACTGCCATTAACTTACCAGATCAATCATAAAGTTTGCGGCCCCCCAAAAAAATCCCAAAGACACACAAATGCACGGCTTTAAACATACTCAATCGAATAAACAAAATAGTAGAAAAACAAACTTTTGCACAATCTATTTATGTGTTTTTTTTTTTTGCTCTCGCCTTTCTGTTGTTTTTCATTCAAATTCAATTAAAAGTGAAGACGGTGTATTTTTTTTCTTGCTAAACTGCACGTTTGCCGTATAAATGTTTTGATTAACAATCTTTAGAAAAATGATTCACACGAAAAGAGGTAAAAAAGCGTTGTACGTTCATTAACAATTATTCTGATTGTTTTTTTTTCCGTCTCTATCTTCTTTTGTTGTTGTCGATGTTCTTGATCCTCAAAATGTCATACGTCATTCGAACTCTGTTGACTCTATTCGTATTTTCCTTTCAATAAATATTTAAATATGTGCGTGATCAAAACACAAGGTGTAACACACTCGTCAAAAGATTCTCTCGGTTTTCTATTCGATGAGATTTTGATTGGAAGACCATAAAGACTTGCAGTTGAATTTTTATTTCGTTATAACTGAAACATCGTTGCAAACGGCACACAGATCGATTGTACACATTTTAGCTCGACAAGCGATTTTGACTGACTGAAAACATAAAACAGCCACACAACGTCACGACCATGGTAGCCGTGTGTGAGAAACCGTCTCAGCGTGAGCTCACCACATTGCTCCATACACACCGACTCATAAACACACACAGACACAGCCACACATATAAATTCACGCAGTGTACAACAAATGCAAAAGAAATTCATTCGCAATATTCACAAAGCGCTACTTTGTGTTATATAGTGAAGCACATTTTATTTACGTTGCCGTCGTCTATTTAGTATACTAAAGCGCTCGTTGGTGAACTCGTGCAGCAGCAGCACAAATACAGGTGTTAAAAGCTAACCACACATACACACGCATACCGATCGATGATGATTCGACGGTAAATGAAACACAGCGTAGTCGTAGTCGTCGATTTCTTACTCATTCCTTTTCTGCTCTGCTATTCGCAACATACTTCAAACCGCGAATACGCTTTGCCTTTGCATAGTACAATGTATATTGCCAAGATTACTGTCGGAATATTGATGTTTCGTTTGTTTGTTTTTTCTCTTTTCATTCGTGTGGAATACGTTTTTTTATTCCTCTTCTTCTTCTTCTTTTTCTTCTTGAGCTGCATCGGTCTTGTGGCGGCAATTTTCGAATCTGAGAACTCATTCGAGTCACCGTGTGTGGTTGACTGTGGCACGGTTGTTGCTATTTTTTTTTTCAAACTGATGAGCGTAAGAGTGTTTTTTTAATGTGCTGCTACGCGCCCAAGATGAAACCAGAAGAATGCGGACATATAAACGTATATTTGAAAACCCTAATAAAATATGATATGCAGGTTGCTAGTTATTCAATAATATTGTTGCAAATCCACTTGAAATCTGGTGTTTTTCCTTTCTGCTGTTGTTCGCTTCTATTCGGTTTGGTTCGGCCGGAGACTGTAGTGGTAATTTTTCGTGCTAGCATTAGTAACAGTTCAATTAAAAGTCACATATTTGCTAGCGCACCGTGAAGGAATGAAGATAAATATGGAAACAGCATGCCAAATATCGCATACCATCACATTTTTTTGTAATAACGTAATATGTATGCAACATGTGTTTATATATGAATGTCCGAGAATGAAAACCCAATTGAAATGAAACAACAAAATCGAATTTTTTCAAAGTGTAACAACAA